ATCTGTGCCTGTGGAGCACTGCCTGAGCACTGGGATCTGCACACCCCAACGTTCCCCAGCACCGAGCTGGAGAGGGACACAGCTGGGGACGGGCAGCTCTCAAAGGGTGATGTGATCTGGGTTTTCATGATGGGAATTAATATGAAAAATGCATTTAAAAGTGTCCTTTATTTTTTCACTGTCACCAGCAGGTGCATTTGCACCTTTCCTATCCTGATATCCCTTCGATTTTTTTGTGGGAGCTCTAAGTGAGCTCTCAGCACTTTTGCTGACTGGTATAAATCCTTAGGACACTATACAGCATTTTCCTCCTACGTTCACCTTCTTTCTCCTTGAGAGTCACTAACTCTTGCACAAAACAAGGAATAGGGTCCCCTTTTCTTGTGAATCTGGGGGCCTGGTGCTCCCTCCATCTGCCAAGGACTAGAGGGAACATGGCAGTAGGTGTTACCGGGATGGATGCCCCGAGCAGAGGGGGAGATTTGGGAGAGGCAGGGAGTTGCCCTGCAGCAGTGGCTGGGCTCAGGCAGGGCCATGCCCCAGGCCTGTGGTGCTGTGCTCTGTGACTGAGCAGAGCTGCAGGCAGGGACAGGGGGAGCAGCTGCGGGTGTGCCCCGGGGAGGGATGCTGAATGCATTGCCAAAAAGCTTTTCAGGAGGGTTGAAAGTGAAGCAGAGCTGCTGACAGGTGAGCAGTGTGTGTTCCACGTGCGGGGCCCCCAGAGAGCACTGCGGTGGGGACATCAGCATTTTGTGGCTTTTGGGACTCAGGTTGTGAACTACTAGAACAAAAAAAATTAAAAGTAGTATAATCCCATAATATAATTGATTTGGATTAATTTTATTCCCACAGAAAAGCTTCTAAAAATGCTCAAGGTAAAGTGGTTTTGGAGACTTTTTTCCCCCCTACAAATACCTAAATATCTTTTTTCTTTCTGAATCACTCCATCCATCTCAGCCCTGGGTGTTGCTGGAGTATGGGTGCCATATTGCTATGAAATAATGGCAGTGCACAATCCCAAACCCTTGGAAGAGGTCCAGTAGAGAACCTGGCTCCTTCTTGTCCTTGGCATGGCACTAGGGGAGTCTTTGGCTCCAACTCTTTGTTGGAAGCCAAGGAAAAGAGCACATAGATACAATTGAGAACAGCCTCTGAACAATGAGACCTCCTGGGCCCTGGTTCAACAAAGCACTTAAGGCCAGAGCCAAAAGAATGTTCAAGGGCCTCAAATTGAAAGTGTGGCTCTGTCAACTGTCCCTCTGGAAGAGGGACTGACAAATTAATTGACAGCACAAGGGAGGAAATAGCTCTGAATTGGACCTTTTCCCCCTCATCCCCATTTCCCTGGATCCAGAGTGGCCATGTCTGGGTGAAGGATCCTTTCTCTGCTCACCCCACACATCAGGGTGACCCCATGGGATGCTGAGGGAAGGGGCTGGCTGGATGTGATCCCTGTGGGATGCTGAAGGAAGGGGCTGGCTGGATGTGATCCCTGTGGGATGCTGAGGGAAGGGGCTGGCTGGATGTGATCCCTGTGGGATGCTGAGGGAAGGGGCTGGCTGGATGTGATCCCCTCCTGCCGGGCAGAGCCCAGAGCTTGGCATGGTCCTGCCCCCTGCAGCCTCCATAGCTCCATCCCAGGGCACAGAGCAGAGACAGCCCTGACCATGTGGGATACACACACTGCTGTGGCTGGAGCTTCCCTGACACTGGCTGAGGGTGTGTAGTAAAGATTCTCCCTGAGGAACAAGCCAAAGCTTTGCTTAGAGCCCAGCTTGGTGTCTCTCAAGTGAAGTTCCCAAAAGCCGTGTTCTGCTGCCCTGGCACTGCCCACTGTCCTCCTGGCAGCCCTGGCTTGGGGGGTCAACAGGGCTGTGTTCCACTTGCACTGTCCTGCCCCGGATCCTGCCCACAGCGCTTAATGATGCTCCATAATTGAGCACATAATTGAGCACCAAAGTGCCGCAGGCAGGTTTGCAGCTGGTGCAGGCCCAGGCTCAGGTCAGGCTCCCAGAGCAGACACGTGTCACACACTGACTGATCCAGCTCTCAGAGCTTGGCTGACATGCAAACACACACGAGAAAGGTTTGTTTTAGCTGTTCTATCCCTAAAACTTCGGTGTGACAGTTTAACACAGAAGCTCCCACAACAGCAACCGTTTGCAGCAAATAAGAACTCCCGTGTGAGGGTTTGGCAGTGCCATCCCAGCCTGGGGGATGCAGGAGCAGGCACTGTTCATCCTGCAGCTGCAGGCTGTGGCCCAGGGCTGTGGTGCAGGAGGTGCTGCCATCCCTCCTGTGGGACCCAGGTGTGATGCCTTGGGGTCCTGGAGGGCAGAGGGATCTCCCTGGGCTGCTCCCTGAGCCTTGATGGGCTTCTCTTCTCCTTAAGCTGCTGGCTTTGGGATGGAGTAAGAGACAGCTTGGCCTGCCTCCATCTGCAGGGAGCATCCCTGAGAGCCAGCTCTGCCGTGGGGCCCTGCTGTGAGGCACAGTTCCCGTGTCATGGGTGTCCACGTGCAGGTCCTTGGGCAGGGGTATCCACGTGCACAGGTGTCCGTGTGTGCAGGTCCTCACCAGGCACGGGTGCCCCTGTGCCCGAGGGCAGGAAGCCTGCAGGGGAAGGTTGTACGAGGGCTGTTGGGGCAGCTGTCAGGACCTAAATCTCCTTCCGGAGAGCAACTCGGATGTTGCTGCAGATCTTGGAGAGCGCCTCAAAGAAGGGGTCACAGAAGGTGTGGATGCAGAGGGAGTAGATCCGGCTGACGCACTGGATCTCTATCAGGTAGCTCTTGATGCAGGGCACCACTGCCCAGATGTGGCAGAAGGAGATAAGGGCAAAGAGGAAGCCCCAGACGATGGCCAGGGGGATTCCCAGGACGGCAGAGAGCAGCC